GGTAGAATTATAACGTTTTCCATTTGTCGAACCAGTGCAAAAAAAAAATGTATCATCCTCACATGTTACATGCTTTCAGAAAAAGATGCGGATACATTCAGTGCGCACTGATTGACAAATGGAAATCGCCATTAGTGTAAAGAAAATGTATTTCTATCAGTTTCTTGAACAAGCTAAAAGAAAGAGATGGAAATATACTCAGTGCGCGCTAAAAACGCCAAGTTGCTATAGAAGGCACGCCCAGTTAAAAACCGGCGTGGATAATACACACTACTACGACAGAGGTTTGTTTGTATGTGTTGTTCGGGGTAGCACTTCCTGCTTTGGGGCGTTCGATTATGAGCGTTTCACATGGTTTATCTGCCATAATCTGAAATATCACAGCTTAGTTCAAGTTAGTACGACACGAACAAACAAACCTCAGGATCAGTGGCGGATCTAACATGAAGCAAAGGACGCACTCTGCGTCGGGCCCCCAGAGCTGAGGGGCCCCCACACAACCAGATCCTCAAGACATTGATAAAAAAAAAAAAAAAAAAAACTCATGAACATAAAAAAAAGCGAAAATTAAATTTTGGAAGCTACGGCAACTTTGTATATCTCTAGGAAGCCTGCTGTGCTCGACGCGATGCGGCAACCGCGGACGCGCGGGACGCATAATATTTTACTTTTTTGATCTTTTTGTATGTGGAGACAGACTACTGCAATCCAGGTATTCTTTCGATCTGAGCAAACTGATCGGAGTCACTTGAGGTTTGCTTCAATCAATTGTCATCTGGTTTCAGCACGATTTCATTGGCCTAACTGTTTTTTTGATGCCTCATGAACAAACTTGATGTGATCACAATCAGTTTGTTAAGATCGAAAGAATACCTGTACTACATCATTACATGTTGTATTTCTTTTTGTTTAGATAGAAAGTTCCTGAATTTTTACAAATATTTTTTTTTTCGTTTATTTTGTTTTCATATTGTCTCATATGTTCTTAAAGTCTGTCAAATTTAATTTCGCCGGCGACGTCTGAGGGGCGAAGAGCAGAAAAATGGCGGATACGCATGGTGATTGGTGGGTTGTATCGTGAACCTTGTCAAGCTTGTTTTTATGAAGGTAGCTATAATGGATTTCAATTATCTGCAGCCAATCCAATGACATTTCCGGTTTATTGATGTGTATTGATGTACCTACTGTCAAGAGGAGCTGACGCCCTGTCAATTTTTTGTCCGCATTCTTTTCTTCATCAAATTTTTTTGACGGATATGGCAATTACCGTGCGCATTCCAGCTCTTGGTTATAGTTCGTTGGGACAAACAAAGCCTTTAAAGGACTTTTTATAGGCAAAGGCGCTAGCTTTGTCATTAATGAGATTCGATAGGAGGATAAACATGTCATTGGGGTTATTTGTGTGACGTCAGCTAGTACAAGGCTAGTACATAATTAGGCACTAGCTAACGTCACACACAAAACCTTACTTTCGAAAGAGAGACAAACAAAACGTTGAAAGACTATTCACACACATCGGTTAGGCGATAGGCTATTACGTCACAAAGCACATAACGTCACTTTAGATAGGGGGACAAACATGTCATTGAAGGCCGTTTCTTCCAACTACATATTTTAGGAATGCCTTATAAGTATTCCTTATGACAGTTTTCCATGAAGAAATGTCAGTTTGATGAATACTTATCGTTGTTGATTGTCCCCCATCGAAAGTGAGGTTATGTGTGTGACGTCAGCTAATGCCTCCAACACCACAAGAAAAATACCTGAAAAAAGCATGACAGGGCCCCAAATTTTTTTTTGCGTCGGGCCCCAAAGGTTCTAGGTCCGCCACTGCTCAGGATAGCCTATCCTCATAAGGCCTGTGTGGAACAAATCTGAAGCCCCCTACCTCGCCAAATCTCCAGTTGTGACGTAGGCAGCATGTCGTTTCTCGCCTTGACGTAGGCTGTTTGCACTACAAGTTATGATTCCGCGGGCTTTTGCTTATGCATACTGTTTTACTCATTAATTAATATTCTAAGTGCCGGTACTTTCGCTCTCATTTGACAGCTGTTAAACATTGACGAGGGGTTTGAATGTGCTCTAACCATATGATACTCACCTGGCCCATGCAAAACTTTGACGACGTATCAAATTCGTTAATCGAGAGTAAAAGTATTGGCCTTAAAACAACTTTTTCAGATCTTGTTTTCTAAGCAACCCTTGTAGTGTGTATTATCCTTGATAAACCGGTTCAGGATTTAATAGGTCTGTGTCTGCAGAAATCACAAACCAGTCAGAGTGAATTTCATTGGTTGAAACTAGTTTTCTGACTGTTTCTGACTGTTTTCAACCAATGAAATTCGCTCTGACTGGTTTGTGATTTCTGCAGCAGGAAACAAGCCTAATATGTTCTGGACTGGTTCGGAATCGGTCCAGAATGTGATCCGCTAACAAAGCTCGGTAATAATAATGAAAAGACGAGTTACTTTGGGTTGGTTTATCAGCGCTTCTCAACGACATATTAACTTCGTTCCAACACAGCTGGAAACCCTATAATTTACTCTCGAATTTACCCAAGGATAATACACACTACACGAGGATTGCTTACGGCCTATTTTTGGGATTCAAGATCATCTGGTGTAGCACCGTTGCTACGACATCAACTATGTCGGCAGCTATTTGCGCCAGCGGTCGCAGTTTAGAATATTCAAGTAGAAGCCAGCGGAATTATAGCTTGTGGTGCAAACACCCTACGTTAAGGCGTGAAACAACATGCTGCTACGTCATCACCGGTACTTTGGCACTATTTCTCTTTCAACCCCCTGTAGATACTTTAGGGTTGCGGTGCAAAATTTAATAATTATGGCGCAAAATGGTGCAAAACTCAAGGAACAGTTTGTTCTATTATAAATTGAAATTTGACGTGTCGGGGGGCCAACTTTTTCTCTTGCAACCCCTTGTAGCGGCTTAAAGGTTGCGGTGCAAAATTTAATATTTATGGTGCAAAACTCGGAGAACAATTTGTGCTATCTGCTATCATAAATTGAAATTTGGCGTGTGGGGGGGGGGGCAAATATTTCTCTTTCAATCCCCTGTAGAGGCTTAAGGGTTGCGGTGCAAAATTTAATATTTATGGTGCAAAATGGTGCAAAACTCGGAGAATAATTTGTGCTATTGTAAATTGAAATTTGGTGTGTGGGGGGGGCCATGGTTAATTTGGCCCCCCCAGTAATACTTCCATATAGTTTCTCTCCTGAGGGGGTGCAAAATTTTTTTCGGGTGGTGCAAAACGGTGCAAAATGGGTGCAAAAAAATGATATAAGTTTTAATCGATTTGGAAATATGGGGGGGGCTCACTTAACTGACCCGGAATTATATACATAATTCAAAATTTCAAAAAATATTCTGAAATTACAAAAAAATAGGGGAATTACAGGAATTATTCCAAAAATGCAGGAATTACTCGAAGGTATTCAAAATTACAGGAATTATTCGTAAATTACGGAAATTTTCTCAATATTACAGAAAATTACAGAATTTACGAAAAGTGGAAATTATGAAAAATTACGTGAATAACGAAAAATTACGAGAATTATGGACATTACGAAAAACTATGAAAATTATAGAAATTATTGCAAAAATTTTGAAATTTTCAAATGAAAAATCACTCCATAAAAAATTCTGGAAAATTGACTTATTTAAGCAAAATTAAGGAAAATTCACTTCTTACATTTTAATGTTTTTCTGGAAAACTGGCAGAGGGAAAATTTTGAAAATTTTCCAAGAAAAAGAGCTCATTATAGGAAAATTTCGAAATTTTTCAGTGAGAAATCACTCTAGGGAAAATTCTGGAAAATGACTTTCAAGTAAAATTAAGGAAAATTCATGCTCTCACATTTCAATTGTTTCCTGGAAAATTGGCAAAAGAAAAAAAAGAGGAAAGTCAGGAGCTCATTATAAGAAAATTTCAAAATTTTCCAATGGAAAATCGCTCCAGGAAAAATTCTGAAAAAATGATTTTTTCAAGTAAAATTAAGAAAAATTCATCCTCTCACATTTTAATTTATTTTTGGAAAACTAATAAAGCAAAACTTGTGAAATTTTTCCAGAAGAAAGAAGAAAATGAGGAGTTCATTATAGGAAATTTTCAAAATTTTCTAGTGAAAAATCACTCTAAGGAAAGTCGATAGGAAAGTTCTGGAAAATTGAGTTTTCTAAGCAAAATTCATCCTTTCACATTTAAATTTTTTTTTGGAAAACTGCTGAAGGGAAAATTTTGAAAATTTTCCAGGATGAATAGAAAAGTGAGGAGCTCATTATAGGGAAATTTCGAAATTTTCTAGTGAAAAATCACTCCAGGAAAAATTCAAAGAAAATTGACTTATTTAGGCAAAATTAAGGAAAAATCATTGAGGCGACATAAGGAGAAAAAAGCGTATCCCACTTCCACCATATTGTTACGACACTTGTGTTTGAGATTCTGTCACTTTTGTCATTGCAACGCGTCAAAATTGCACCAGGGACGCATTTTCCATCCGAAAATTTTTTAAATGCGAAAGCCTAGAATTCCTATTTTGGGTCTTGGAAGGATCTCCTGTTTCAGTATGTTGAAGTTTCTGTAGCTACTTTTTTTTTCTTGGTGTAATCTCGATTTTTTTACGTTTTTTTTTTTGCAGTTTCGCTATGGAGCTCACGGGCCCAGGCCTGTATGCTTTGCACACATGGCACATTGCTAGATACGCCACTGACAGTAGACAGTAATTTTCCAGAAGAAAATTAAAATGGAAAAGGGTGCATTTTCGTTAATTCAATTTTTGGAAGTTGATTCTTATGATTTTTTCTTGTTGCTATTTTTCACTGGATCAATTCAAAATTTCATTATGATGAGTTCTTAACTTCTATTGATCTGGTTTTCAATTTCTTTTGCGTTTCAAAGATGCGATGTTCACCCCGTCCCTTTAAATTTTAATAACTTTTGGATCTTTATAAAAGGTTAAAAAATGTATATCTTTTTTCAGACTGTCGATATTTTGAGAGACTGTGTATGGTGCTATCTTCGAGACCACATCCCGTCGCCTGCATTGTTTACCTGCGATTCGAATGGTATTTATTGGCGCGATCCCGTCACCGCAAGACCGCCGGAACGTTACACAAACACGCTGAGAATAATAATGCAAAGGAATATGGAAACTTTAGGCCATTTGTTGTCGGAAATGTTTGTTAATATTCCCAGACACGACTAACTAAATTGTTTTTAAATATTATTGTGTATCATTTTTGAGTAAATTTTTTACGAAACGTACGTATTTTTATTTTGACTTATGACTAATTATTTTGCATAAAACCAACCTCCAAAGAGGAAGGTTTTTGTCCAACTACATCATAGACCTTTCCTACTTCGAACAAATAGTTCTGGAGATTGTGAGTCTTAAAAAGAACGCGGCTCTGTTACGAGTTCAGTAACAATAGAAAAAAGTTAAAGATATTTTGTGTTGTTGTGGCTATCAGATCCAGGATTTTGAACCCACGAATCGATAGTATCGAATATCCATTATGACCATCTGTGATATATTTGTGAGTCTAATGTTAAACAGACTATACATGTTAGCTGATGTTGTAAGGTTAAACAGACTATATAAACCATATTGTTTAAAATGCTTTGCGCATGTCATGAACTTTATACGAACATCATTGGTCGGTTGAATAAAGAGATTCTCTTCTGGTCTGACTTGTATCGAGGTAACAATGTTTTATTTCACTGATCCCTTTCCCAAAATAAAATAAATTAATTAATTAAAAGTGAACTTTCAAATCGTAACTAAGTTAATTAGCCAAACCCACAAATACAACATGGTGTCAGAAGTAGACGAATTCGCGTGAAAAGCAGCACATTCCAATCTAAAGAGCCACTAGCAAATCCAAATCGAAGAAAATGGCTACCACTACCACTACCCGCATGGAAGCAATTCCTCCAGGCGAACTAAGTTTTGTGGGGCACATGGCTGAAAACTGGTCTTTCTTTCAATAGAAATTCCAAATATACCTAAAAGCAAGCAAGCAGGATTCAGAAACCGAAGAGGATAAAGGCTTTATTCTCCTCAACAGAATTGGGGACAAAGCTCTTAAAATTTACAATAACCTACACAACAACAAGGAAAGAACAAAAGTCACTGCAAGGACATTATCGAGGCATTTACTGAGTACTTCACACCAACAAAAAATATAACTTATGAGCGCTACATCTTCAACACGAGGAACAAGAAAGAGAATGAGTCCTATGATGACTACGTGACAGACCTAAGACAGCTGGCAAGCAGCTGCGAGTTCTCCACCTTAGAAGAAAGTCTTATACGGGACCAATGAACTATAGCTAAAAACTGGAATGCGCACATATTGCCATATCTGCCAAAAAAATGAAGCCATGAAAGACAGATGCCACAAGGGGGAATGTTGTTTTTTTCTGTTGCTCGCTGACATATGACCTTTTCGAAAGTTTTGTCATATTTCCCTTCACAGGTTTCATCAATTGGAATACGTGTTGGAAGCAATTTTCGCCATTTAACATAATGAGTGCGACAAAAACAGGTATCCCTTCCGCAGCAGCCGCACTAGGCTTCAAGTTCGTCGTTATGTGTTAGCATTCCAGTTTTTGGTTATAGTTCATTGTACGGGACAGACTCATCCTGGGCATCTCAGACGTCGCCATGAAGGACAAGTTGCTGAGGGAATCCAACCTAACCTTGTCTAGGGCCTTGGAGACATGTCGTACTGCTGAAGCCACTGCCAGACGCCTAGAAACAATCGAAAACGAAGCAAGAGGGACGTCAAATGAAGTCAGCCTGGTCCGAAGGGGCAACCCAAATTCCAGGAGGCTCAACAACCCTCAAGGGCAGCAGAATGGCAACACTGCACCTCGTCACTTCACCAACCATCGTAATGGAAATCAAAATAAGATAAGTACTCCTAATTCTTTTAAAAACAACTCAAATCCTAATCAAAATTTTTCAAAACAGCGTTTTATTAAAAATTGTTATAAATGTGGTTCTTCACATAGAGTGAATGCCTGTCCAGCATATGGGAAAAAGTGTGATAAGTGTAAAAAATTTAATCTTTTTGGCAGGTTATATAATAAAAAATTTGTAAATAATATTGAAGAACAGAATCTCAGCATTTCAGGTGATTCTGATCAAGAGTATTCAGAGGGAGAGCTCAGCATTTTTACTATAAACAATTCAACAAGCAATAAACAAAACTGGACTCAAAATCTCTATATAAATAATAAAATAAAAGTTGCTTTCCGACTGGATACTGGGGCAGACATTTCAATTCTACCATTATGTTATTTTAAACATTTAAACATACCAATTGAGAGTTTAGAAAAACCTGATATTAATTTAGTTGGGTACTCGGGAGGCAAAATTATTTCCCTGGGTACTGTTTATTTAAAGGTTAAAAAATGTCATCAAAAAGATAAACAAATCCTGGTGAAATTTAATATTGTTGATACTAAAAAACCTCCAATTCTTGATGGAAATTCCTGCATTAATTTAAAATTGATAGAAAGACTGCCTCAAAATTCAGTAAATAATGTTACCGTGTTAAATAACAAATCATGTGAAAGGGTAATTAGTAATTATAATGATATTTTTCAAGGTCTTGGATGCCTACCAGGCACATACACCATTGAGCTCAAGGACAATGCACTTCCAAGGATACAGCCTCAACGAAAAGTACCCTATGCTCTTCATAGCCGCCTAAAGGAGAAGTTGAATGAAATGCAAAAAGCCAAGATCATCGAGCGAGTCGAAGAACCTACAGATTGGGTAAATAGCTTAGTCATTGTCAAAAAACAAAATAATGATTTACGCCTTTGTATTGATAGCAAAGACCTTAATGCTGCAATTAAAAGAGAACATTATTATTTACCGAATTTGGACGATATTATTTCTAATGTAAAGGGTTCAAAATTTTTCTCTGTATTAGACTGTAGCAATGGGTTTTGGCAGATTAAATTAAATAAGAAAAGTAGTAGATTAACAACATTCAACACTCCTTGGGGTCGGTATTGTTTTCTTAGAATGCCTTATGGCATTAACTCAGCCTCAGAAGTTTTCATGAAAAGGCTTAGGCAATTACTCGAGGGCATAGAGGGCGTTCAATTATTCATTGATGATATTTTGTGCTATTCAGAATCCTTGGAAGAGCATTTAAAAATATTAAATAAAGTTTTTCAAGTCGCCAGAGAGTGTAATATAAAATTTAATGTTAATAAATGTAAATTCTGTGTCAGTAATGTAAAGTATATGGGTTTCAATCTGTCAGAAAATGGCCTCGAAGTAGACCATACCAAAGTAGAAGCCATAAAAAATATTCAAATACCCAAATGTCCGAAAGACATAGAGCGTCTTTTGGGAATTTTAAACTATTTAAGTCGTTTTATACCTAACTTGTCTGAACTAACGGAACCTTTAAGAATTTTAATTAAAAATAATATCAAATTTGATTGGGGTCAACAACAACAACAATCCTTTGATAAAATAAAAAATATTTTAATGAATGCTCCAGTCTTACAATTTTATTCTCAAAAAATTCCAGTGGTAATATCGTGTGATTCATCTCAGAATGGTTGCGGCTCTGTGTTACTTCAAAATAATGCATCGGTGTCGTATGCATCAAAAGCCTTTACACCAACTCAACAAAGATATGCTCAGATAGAAAAAGAACTATTGGCAATCTGTCATGCTTGTGCCAAATTTCACAATTATATTTATGGACGGTCAGATGTAACGATTGAAACTGACCATAGGCCATTGGTAAATATTATTAAAAAACCCTTGATGAGTGCAAGATTGCAAAGAATGCTATTAATGTTACAGCCTTATTCATTTAACTTAGTATATAAGCCAGGCAAACACTTATTTTTGGCTGATGCCTTAAGCAGAGCATTTCAGAATGATTTCAATGAAAGTTTTGAGCAAAAATGTTTAGAATTTGATAATCATTTATTCTTTGTAACAGAAAACATGCCAATAAGCAACGAAAAATTTCATGAACTAAAACTAGAGACATCACAGGATATTCACTTACAGGGATTAATAGAGTTAATTACACAAGGTTTTCCAAAATCAAAAAACTTACTAAAAAACGAATATAAAATATACTGGTTACACAAAGATGAACTTGTATATGCCAAAGGTTTAATTTATAAAAATAATAGAATTTTAATTCCGAAGTGACTTCAAAAACAAATGTTAGCAAGACTACACGTGGGACATTTAGGTATAAATAAGACTAAATTAAATGCAAGACAATTGATTTTTTGGCCTACAATGAATTCTGACATAGAAAACATGATTGAATCCTGTAATACATGTTTAACAAATAGTAGAGACAATAAAAAAGAGCCTATGATACCTCATGAAATACCATTAGGACCGTGGAAAAAGGTTGGCACTGATATTTTCTATTTTAAAAAGGAAAGTTTCTTAATTACTGTTGATTATTACTCTAAATATGTGGATGTACAAAAACTAGAAAATGACACCAGCAACGCAGTTATAAAAGCTCTTAAAAAACTCTTTTCTGTTCATGGTATACCAGAAACTTTAATATCAGACAATGCTACTTGTTTCTCTTCTTTAGAATTCAAAAACTTTAAACAAAATTGGCAATTCAAGCACATAACACCCAGTGCACATAATCCACAAAGTAATGGACAAGCAGAAAGATTTGTTCAAACAGTAAAAAACACAATGAAAAAATGTCATGAATCTGGTTCTGATTTTTATTTAGCCTTGCTGGACCTAAGAAACACTCCAATAGAACAAAATCTACCGAGTCCTGCACAATTAATTTTTAGCAGGCTGAGAACTACTATTCCAGTTAAAGATAACTTATTGCAACCAAAAGTACAACCTGTTTCCACCGTGCACAATAAATTAATTGACAGGCAAATCAAACAAAAAACCTACTATGATAAAAATTGTAAAGAATTATCGGAATTAAAAGTTGGTATGAGGGTAAAAGTAAAGAATTTCAAATTAAAATCAGATGAAAAATGGCTAGATGGCACAGTAATAGAAAAAAATCCAGTTATTCCCAGATCATATAATATAAAACTAGACAAAACTTCTAATATAGTGTCTAGGAATAGAAGACATTTAAGAATTAATAATTCTCTCGAAAAAGAAAGGGAAAATGAGGAGAATTTGCATAATAATTACTAAGGAAAAAATAGAGAAGTAAATAAAAATACTAACAAAAAGAAGTTTAACTTTGATAGATTTAAATATGATAGCATATGCCCAGAAATTGAAGATTTAAATAATTCAAATAATTCTAATTCACCAAGTACTAGTAGGCAGAGTGTCTTGAACTCAG